TCCTCTTCGCTTTCCAAGTCTCCTTTTGGGGGAATATCATCTACCCACCACCACGTTCTGGTCATCATCGTGTCAGCACCTTCTCCCCGTCATGGTCATCTAGTCGTTTCTCCACCCTCCAGCTCCATCTGCGGCTTCGTGCTGTTCCGCTTCCTGGGAGGGGGAGGAGGGGGAGGAGGAGGAGGAGGAAGAGGCAGAAGAGAAGAAGGGGGGAAAATGGCAACGGGGCAATAGTCAAGAGCTTCCTGAAGCCTGGTGGCCTGGTAAACGTTTCCGAAGTTATTTTTCGAAACGATTTTCCGACACTCTCGGAAGTGCAAACTAATTTTCCAGGTAGCGCAAAATTTTCGGCGCGTCGATAGTTATTATGCGAAACATTTCCCAAAGATGCAAAATGTATGAGCATGAAGATCAAGAAGCTGAGCAGGAAGGGGTGTGGAAGGTTCGGGCGGAAATCGATGAAGGAGGAGAATGAGCGAGTAGCAGGATGAGTAACGCGAGGAGGGAGGTTGAAGCGCCATAGAAAGCTCATTGGGATCACTCAGAAAAGAAAACGACATCACCGTAACGTCCTTCCGCCCCCTTCCCCCCCCCCCCAAAAAAAAAAACCCATCTTTACCTTCCTCTTCTCAATTCTTCAGCAGTATCATTGCCAGACCAAAAAGAACCGGATTACTGTCATGCCATCGCTGTTGTCCTCCTCTTCATCTTTCTCAACATCATAATGATCCACGATTTTTCAACCATTGTCACTCAGACTTTCCATGCGTCATCCCTGCTGTATGACTGCTACTCGTGCTCATCATTTTCGTTGCCCTTCAGCTTATCATTGGACATCGTCTTTTTGCCTTGTCCTCGTCTTTTTTCCTGTCCTCGTCATCGCCTTCGCCCTGGGGTAGACTGAAAGTCATGCAAAGCAATGAAACAGGTCTTCTCCAGTCAGCAACCATCTCCATCCGTGTGGACCCTTGAATTTGGCAAAGCTGTAATGGCGGCTTCTTTTTGTTCCGTATTCGTTTCCTTTGTATCGTTCTTTTCCTGCTTTTGGCAGTTTTTTTATTCACACTGTCAATTTCTAACATTGAGATGCTAATACGTGTGTGTGTGTGTGTGTGTGTGTGTGTGTGTGTGTGTGTGAGAGAGAGAGAGAGAGAGAGAGAGAGAGAGAGAGAGAGAGAGAGAGAGAGAGTTCCGGTGGTGGTTACCTGGAATCGAGATCTGTTGACATGTATGCGGGAGGAACAAAGTGAATGCGGGAATCTACTTGTCAGGGGACCGTTCCGGTGGTGGTTACCTGGAAGCGTTATAGTAGATTCGATGTGGCGCGATCGGTGCCGGCTGATGTTTGGCAGTGCTATTTCGTCCTTAAATAGCCCAGCCTCTAACAGATTCCCGCATGCACTTTGTTATGTCCCTGCCCAAAAAAACAGACACACACACAGAGAGAGAGAGAGAGAGAGAGAGAGAGAGAGAGAGAGAGAGAGAGAGAGAGAGAGAGAGAGAGAGAGAGAGAGAGCAAACAAACGTGCGAACTGTGTACTCTTCCCGGAAAGTGAACTCCACGAACTGACGGCAATTGTGTGTCCTCCCCTCCCTCTTCCTCCACACCAGAGCAGGAATGAACAGCAGAATACCCACCGCTCATCTTGCAATGTCGAGCCGGTCACCTGGCCTGCTTTGAGGCCGTTCCGGTCAAGTGTTCGGTCTGGATTGAAGCGGGCTTGCGGGTTGTGGAGCTGGCCGTGCGAGGTTCGCGTGTGCAATGTCGGGGCGTGCATAACTCGGCGTACAATGTGGTGGCGTGCGTGTTTGGTGCCTTGCGTCCTATGTTGAGCCCTTTTGTCAGGCTGATTCCACTTACATGTTTCCACTTACATGTTACTTGTGCGATAACGGCAGCGAGAGGTGGTGAAAGCGTGGACGCACGAGAATGCGGTGGGATGGAGGGATGCCGTTTTTTTTTTTTTTGAGTTTTTGCCGAGTTGCAAATCCGCAACATATGACCGTGAACTCGGTTAAGGCCATACTCACAGTAGGAGTTTTCTGTTGACTTGTTTCTGGAGGTAAATTGCGGTCAGATGCGTTTACATCCGGCCGTAAATGCGATCAGATACATTTAAGATAGAGCTAGTGTGAGTACGACCTAACTGAGTATCACAACGGTATGGTGATAGGCCGGCCTTGTACGTAGAGGTGATGAAGAGGCGGAGCTTTCTCCGATGCACTGTGTGACGATAAATATATGTTCCCTACACCGGGGTTCAACCAGTCTGCATACAGGGGTCTTGGCGGAGCACGCTGAAAGGCCGGAGCGTCAGACTAATAAGCCGGTACCCGGGAAAGGTGGTCGGTCTGAGGGAGTCCCGTTACATTGGTGCTTCTGTTTTTTTGTCCTTCCTGTCACGTTGGAACATTTCTTTTGTTCTTTTTTTGTTTCTAAAAAAGGAATTTAATAATTTATCGATTTATGTGTGTCATCCTTGAATGCGCAGGCGGGTTGAAGTGTGAGGTCCCCGGCCTCGGTTCAAGTGTTGATTTGAAATGAAATTTGATGTGTTGTTAGGAGGAAAAAATAAAGAAAAAGAATGCGCAGGGGCCATGCATATCAATCTTCTCTGTATCTTTCCAATTTGAATGGATGTCAGAAGGACACGTTGGAACATTTCAGATTGCGGTTGGATTATGGCTTTTCAGCACAATCAACTGCATGCTGAATGGAGCTAATCTTGTCGGAGAAGAAGGTCCTGCGCTCTCCCGATTGTGCTGTTTGTTTTGTGAGGATCACTTTGCTGTCTGCCATGGAAGGACCGGTTATTGCATCTTCCAGAGCCATCGCTATATGGAATGGCCTGTAAGGCTCCTTGTGTGTCTGTCTGGAAGGAAGGTTATATTTTTTTGTCGGGTTCCATCTCCTCATTCCGCAGGGTGTGTGCGGATCAGGACTTCTTGAGCTTATGACATGCTCTCGCATCCCAGATCCATGTTATTCCTGATGCTTTCTCAGATTGTACGGGCCTTGCTCCACCAGTCACCAAATGTGCAAAACGAAAATGAATCTCCTGCTAGAACATGGAACGATACACTGCCATAATTTTTTGTATTTTGTGCATGCGGCGAGTGGTGGAGCGAGGCCCCAAGTCTCTGACGCTGTGCTCTGCAGAGAACGGCCCAGCGATCTTTGGATGTCCGGATGCATGGGTGGATGCTTGCATGTGCTCGTTTGTTTTGTCTTGTTCCGTCCTCTTCTCTGTGCGCGGGCTTGTGCCGGTGTTACCCTCTTGCGTGTTCCTTTTATGTAATGGAGTTGCAACCAATTTGGCAATATATAAGTAATGATATAAATAATACTAGTAATATGCATAATTGATTTCATATGCAATCAGACTCGACTTCTTCACTCTTGTCATGCATGCAAACAGCGAAACAGCAAACTGGCGACATGCGCCCACACAGTACTCAAGATATCGTAACCAGGTAGGAGTTCTCTTCAACTGGCTATGGCGACTGAGCGCCCACACAACTCACTGTTCGCACTCTGGATCACCCTGGATGTCCCACACNCACCCCCGGCTATGTCCGTCTTCCTCTTCGATCTCCTCCTTCCACACTTCTTCTTCTCTCTCCTCAGTCCCTCCTTCTCTGTCCTCCCTTTCTCTCTCATCCGGTACTCTGTGTTACAGCTCCGCGGCTATGGCCACTATCTTCCTTCTCCACTGGACTCCGCAATCTCGCCTTACAGGTAAGTGACAACCAATCTTGGATCGCTCCTCTCTCTCTCTCTCTCTTCCGCCGTAGCGGTATCTTCAGCGCAGCAGGTAAGTAACCAATCTTGTATCACTCATGTCTCTCTCTCTCACTCTCTCTCTCTCTCTCTCTCTCTATCTCTCTCTCTCTTCGTAGTGGTCTTCTTGTTGCAGGTGCGCGACGTCTTCTTCCACCTCGAGGTCCGCTATGGCGGACTGGCTCCTCCGGCGGTAACTTCAGCTATGGCACATCTGCCCTGCACACCTCGCGCGCGTGGAACAGCTGGTACCTGCTCCGATACCAGTGCAATCAGACTCGACTTCTTCACTCTTGTCATGCATGCAAACAGCGAAACAGCAGACTAGCGACATGCGCCCACACAGTACTCAAGATATCGTAATCAGGTAGGAGTTCTCTTCAACTTGCTATGGTGACTGAGCGCCCACACAACTCACTGTTCGCACTCTGGATCACCCTGGATGTCCCACACACAACACTCTACACGCAACACACACACACACACACACGCTACTATGGCTATGGCAGCTATGGCTGCCACTATCCTATCGCTACACTACACTTCACTGCCCTCTTCGTCTTCGGGCGCACTGCAGACCTCCTCGCACAAGCTGCTGGGGCAGCGCTTCCGCATGGCATCCGCAGGAATGAATGAATGGCTGGGCGCAGCCTCTTGATTTATAYTTCTGCGCTGCGTTGGTCTGCACTGTATCCCTTGTCCCACGATGTGTTCACAGTCCCAGACGGTACTTGCTGAACAGGACCGGACTGACTGACTGGGACTGCTGACTGGGCTAGGTGGACTACCACCACTTGACCACTTGCCTCTGCTGAACACAGGCCAACTCCGAAAGGCCACTTCTAGAACTGTGAGATGTTCTCCTCAGGCGCAAACTCTTTGGAACTAACCCAGACTAAGTCGCCTACTTGGAACTGTGAAGGGCGACGATGTTTGTTCGCTTGCTATATCATCTTATGCTGGGCTTTCCTAAGGTTTTCTACAACGGTAGCTAGTTCTCTCTCGTGCTGCACAACAAACTCCCGGGTCCCGGGCGGCAATCTGTGAATTTGATCCCGGTTGAGTCCCTCAAACGGTCTGCGTGGTCTAAAGGACTTGTGCAGTTCGTTGGGAGTGCGACATGTAGACAGATGCACGCTATTATTGTACGCACTAGCTACTTTGGGCAACATCTCATCCCAGTTAATCTGATCCGGCCTAATATACATGCGCAAAACTTGCTGTAGGATCTTGTTCATTTGCTCCGTCCGACCGTTAGTCCCTGGATGACGTCCGGACGACATCAACAACTTGGATCCATACACTCCCATGAGTTCATGCCAGTTCTGGCTGGTGAAACGACTATCTCTATCACTAACTATTGACATCGGGATTCCGTTCTCACTAACCCAACAGTCAAAGAACCTCTGTATGACTAAATCAGTACGCGCCTAAGAAGGCAAAGGAACAAAAACTGCGTACTTGCTAAAGCGGTCAACTATGACCATGACTTGGCTTTTGCCATGCCTGCTCTTGACTTGAGTGTCCATGAAATCGATTGACACTGAGTCTCCCGGCTGATCCGGAATGGGCAAAGGTCTGAGAAGACCTAGCGGGGCGCGCGTAGAACTATTATTACACTGGCAGACTTTGCAACTGCGAACATACTCTACGCAGTCATTCTTCATCCCTGGCCAGGTATACGCACGCATAAGATTGGCTAAAGTCTTTTGCCAACCAAAATGACCCTTTGTGTCATGGCATTCGCCCAGAATCAGACTACGAATCTCTTCGCTATTGGGGATGCACAGGCGGTCAGACACATTAGTCTTCTCAAAAAGCAACCCTTCGGTAGTGCGGTAATTCGGTTCAGTCTCTGGGGCCTCCTTGACTTTCTTAAGGAGCTCACTATAGATAGGGTCCTGCGCGTAAGCTTCTCTAACCCTCTGCTGCAGGTCCTTCCCTATATCGAGGTAATGTACTATTGCCCCAAAGTAATCCGCTCTCCTACCTAGAGCATCCGTGACTACGTTGTACTTCCCTTTGACAGGCTTGAGCTCAAAGTCATACTGATCTATCTCTGTGGCCCACCTAGTAAGCTTAGGTGTGATCTTGGCCTGCGTCTTTAACCATCGTAATGTCTCATGGTCAGAATAGACTTTGAAGTGCCTCCCAAGCAAGTAGTGCTTCCAATGGTCTAAGGTTTGCCTGAGAGCGTAGAGTTCCCTTTCATAGGTAGATGTCGCGACCTTCTCTGAAGGCATCCTGGCGGACATGAACTCTACGGGTCTATAGCCATTGCCATCGTCTTGCTGTAACACTGCGCCTATGCCGTACTGGCTAGCATCCGTAGTAACGACAAAAGGCAAGGACGGATCGGCGACCTTAAGGACCGGATACTCTATCAATGCCTGCTTTAGCTTTTTCATGGCAGACGTGCAGTCCTTGTCCCACTTCGAGATTGTCTCTTTTCTCAGCAATCTGCGAAGGGGCGCAGCGATGGTGGAGAAGTTCCTCACGAACTTCCTATAGTAGTTAGCTAGGCCCAGAAACGAGCGCAACTCTGTGAGCGTACGTGGCGTGGGCCAATCTCTAATCGCTGCGATCTTGCTATCTTCTGGCTTAACGCCGTCTCCGTCTAAGATGTGGCCTAGGTACAAAACTTGGGTCTTTGCCCAATCGCACTTCTTTGCATTGATCTTGAAGTTAGCTTCCCTCAACTTGCCTGAGATGACCATGATGCTCTTCGAGGGTCCTGCTAAACACTAGAATGTCATCTAGATAAACTACAACAAACGTGTCTAACCACGACCTAAACAAATCGCTCATACAACACTGGAACGTAACTGGCGCGTTGGTTAGTCCAAAGGGCATCACTATGAACTCGTAGTGCCCATATCTAGTCTGGAAGGCCGTCTTGTACTGATCATCAGGATGTACCTCTATCTGATGATATCCGGACTTCAAATCTATCTTGGAGAAATACTTCGCCCCCTGCACTCGATCTAAGAGATCGTCTATCCTAGGCAGTGGCTCAGCATTCTTCACTGTGATGGCATGCAGACCCCTATAGTCTGTACATATCCTTAGCTCTCCCTCTTTCTTAGGTACAAAGAGAACAGGGGCTCCAAAAGGAGACGAACTGGGCCTAATCCAACCCTTTTCAAGGAGCTCGTCCAACTGTTTCCGCAGCTCCTCTAACTCCTGCGGGGACATTCTATACACCGCACCCTTAGGAGTTCTACTGCCAGGCTCTATCTCAATACGGTGCTGGATGGGCCGCGGCACCGTGCCTGTCGGCGTCTCAGTCAAATCCTTAAACTCTTCCAGCAGCTTGGCAATCACGGGGTCCATCAACTTTTCCTCCGTAGGCTCAGTCACTGGCCTAACATAGGCAACAAAGACCTGTTCCTCCAATCCCTCCTTCTTCACCAGTCTGGCGAACGCGGGGGCACTAAGGCAGCAGTGCGCCAAGGAATTCTCTACCCTTGACACATGGAACAGGCGGGCAGTCTTGGCCTCGTCTGACGAACTAGGGAGCCAACACTTGTTCTCCTTCAAATGGAGCGTGGCCCCGACTGCCTCTCCCCAATCCATTCCTAGGACAATGTCAAATGGGAGGCTGTCCTCTACGAGGAGAGTCAGGGAGTGGAGGACCTTCTTCGCTTTCCCATCTTTCTCTAGGCGGAAATACGCCTGGACTCCCTCTACGTAACCCTCTACAATCATAGTACGATTGTCCGCGAGGATACTAACTATGGGGACTGTCAGTTTCTGGATTTTAAGTCCGAGCCTCAACTTTTGCAGCGCTTTCCTACTAATATAGCTGCGAGTGGCCCCTGAGTCTACTAGGGCCCCTACTCTACTTCTAAAAATCTCTGTATCTAGTAATATAAGCTGCCCTTTGTTCTCCTTCTTCATCTTGGCCCAGGCGGGGATCCTCTCCTTCAACTCTTCGGCCACACCTGTGAGGGAGGTGTCTAGCGAAACTTTAACATAAGCAGTTTCAGGACAGCTGTCTAGACACCGGCTTGCAACCTCTGCAGTAGGCACATGTGGTGTGGGAGTCTCCTGCCGGCTAGCGCTATTTTCCCCACATGGCCTAGTGGTAGGGGCAGTTGCTACCCCTACCGCGGCTACCTTTTGGCCCTTGGGCAGCCGTTCGGGTCTCTCTATACTTGGGACAATATTTGATGATATGGCCCGGGTCACCGCAGAAAATGCACTGACCCCGGTCCAATCGTTTTTGCCATAAGTCCTGGTCCAGACCCAAAGATTCCCAAGGCCTACCCTGAGGTAGCCCTGGGTGCCATCCTCCTACTCTATAGGGAGTCCTATTCCTAGGACGGTTTTGCGAGGGACCTTGACCCTTGCCTCCCGCTTGGCGGTTTCCTCCTCTGCCGCCAACCCCCTGATCGTCTTGAAACCGGCTCCCTGAGGCCCGACCCCCTTGGCCCTGGCCTCTTGCTCCTTGCGGCCTCCCTCCGGCCGCGACAGCAGCGTAGGATCTCCCCTGRCTCACACCGCTGTCCGCCTCCTCTAGCCCCCACTCAATCTGATCGTAGGGAATCTCATCCACACTACCCTCATCTAAAGTCAGGACAAGGCTATCCTTGGTCTTTACCTGTCCTGAGATAGTGCGGCCTTTCCATTACTTTCCCTTGTCCAAATCCTTATGCCAGAAGGTAGACAGGGACACTGACTTCGCTTCAAAAGCCACCACCTCACGACTAAGGGAATCGTAAGTGGTGGCAGGGTCTTCGCTCTTCGCGAAGAACTGCCCTCGAAAGGCTTCGGGCATAGTCCGGTAAAAGAGGTTGACCAACTGGCCCTCTGTGACCCCATGGTCAGGGACGGCCACCAACTCATCCATTGTACCCTTGAGTGCCGTGACACTCTTCCATTTACGAGAATGGATGGTTTGGAGCTTATCTGAGGCCTTGACACTGCGAGCGACATCTGCAAATCGCTCGCGCAGCAGCTTCAGGAATTCGGTGAGGGACGTAAATGAGGAGTACGCAATGGGATCATCACTACAGTTGGCAGCGCAAACTAGGGACCTTGCAAAACTGGCGGCCTCATCTCTCAGCGCGTGGATAGCAATTAGGACTTGCTGATCTGGGGAGACCTGTTGCAAGTGCACATAGGTCTTAACGTTGGCCTCCCAATTGTCAAAGTTTTCCTCCCTCTTCCCACTGTAGGAATCGGGGAACTTGACTTTGACAGGCTCCCGGCGAGGAGGACGTGCTTCCTCCTCCTTAGGAGCTGCCGCCTTGACGCCTTGAATGGCGCCAGTGCAGAACCGCTCAGTCTTGTCGAGGCGGTGACCCACCTCGGCTCCAACGACGCCTACCAGCTCATGAGCAAAGTCTCGAAAGCCCAACCGTATCGAGCGCACATCTATGTCCCGACTTCTGCTAAAGTCATATTGGTCTGCGTGAACCTGTGCCAGGCATGCGACGCTCCGAGCTATGACTCGCATCTGACTCGGGAGATCGGGCTAGGCGGCTAATTGCGCCTCTATCTTCTTCACTTCCTCTAAGGCCTCTGCCGCCTCCGTTGCCTTGTCAATTCTCCTCTTCTTCTCCCTCATCACCGCTAATTTCCATTCCATCCTCTTCTCGTCTTCCAACGCTTGACGTTTAAGAGGGTCTTTCTCTGCATCCCAAGCCTTCATGGCAGCTTCTTGCTGATCCTACCTCTTCCTCTTCTCCCACAGTCAGGTTGGCAGCCCATTCAGATATCCTCTTGTCCAGGTCTCCACCGGTACTACTACTGGGCTGCCCACTACTCCTTTGCAGTGGCGGACCGTCCTCTTCTTCATCCACCGCCTTCAATTTCTCTTCTTCTTCCTTCTTTAACCTCTCTTTCTCCCTGGCCATCTCTTCTTCCATCTTCTTCAATTTGGCCGCCTGCTCCTCCTTCAAGGCCTTCTTCTTGGCCTCCTTCTCCTTTCTCTCCTGCAGGATGGCGRCCATCTTCGCCTCCTCCTCCTTTGTGTACGGCATAGTGGAGGTGCCGCRCCGGGTGTCTACCATGGTGGTGTCAGGTGYACGACARAGGTCCCACTCCTCACCACTTGGACCTACCYGGACACAAACCTACTGACCGAMTTCCTAAGGACCACAGGGTAAGACCCTGTCAACTATGGTCACTAACCCAAGACTTATTCTAAGGCTGTCACTACTGAACCAAAAGCTGATCTGGAGGCATTTAAGGGGATCCCCCGTAACTCCTCAAGAATTCTTTAACGTCGCAGACAGGACGACGTGATCAGCTTGGTTCTTCCTGGCGATTTCAGCCCACAACTCAGCTGTTCCAGCCTACTGTGCCACACCGAGCAGTCCGCTGGTCTGTACCGGTCCTTGGAGGGGTTCGTATCCCTCGAGACAGTCGAGTCGTCAGACACAAATCATCAACTGTAATAGGTCCGGTAGGGGAGTGGCTCAACCAGGCCTCAACACTTAAAGACGGCCCTCGTTTCAGCCTACAATCCGGAGTTCAGACCCTCTACACTGAACTCAGTAGACCTGCCGGACAGTACCGGTCATTGGGCTAGACCAGTTGTTTAACGAGCGCTCGCCGCTCATGCCCAGGTCTCCAAGTGCCAGAGTAGAGCTTTGGTCCTACTGAGCCCGTGTAGGTTTGGCAGCAAGGCCCTATCCTTCATCCACAGAGTCCTAACACCTAAGACAGAAGAGACTCAATGCAGAAAGAGTAGACAGACAACTTAGCAAGTACCGTGGGGTAAGTGCACATCCACAGGGTAAGGGGATAGGCTGAGGGGTCAACGAGATATCACCAACTCCAGCTTGGTCAAAATCTTGGTCAGCAGCCCCGGTCAATGCCTTGGTCAATGTCGAGTCAACGCGGGTAACCCCCAGTCAACACTTGGTCAACACCTGGTCAACCCTCTGGTCAACGCTCAGGTCAACGCCCGGTCAACCCTTCACCTCGGCTATGGCTGCTGGCACCATCACCCTCGTCACCCTCGCCGTCT